AGAGGAATAGCCTTAGCTAACTAAAAGCTAACTATTGGAACATCCAATCAATGTAAAAATCCATATTAAGTTGTCAAGCTTCTGTTTTCCTCTGTGTAATGTTGCTCATTTATACCACTGTTTCTTTCATTACAAAAGTACATAGGTTGCGTTTTTTAGTATTTAAAAAACCATACTTCTGCCACATGGCGTTAACATATGATGCCTTTTGGGGTGTATTTCCTTCTGGTAAGACATGAGTACATATGAGGGTTTAACCAGTACTTGAAGGCAGTTCCTTTGTGCCTGGCCATGTTACAAACATGAACTAATTTAATCCTTATAGCAGCCTATCAGGTAGACACCAGTGTCATACGCATTTTAAAGGTGAGGAAATTGAAGCCCACAGTCACACAGCCAGCAGGTGACACAGCCGAGATCCAAACCCAAGCAGTCGGCTGCAGGGCCCTCTTTTAACCTCCAGGCCTCTGTCTTTTACTTGACTTACATGGTAGGGGGAGGAAGTAATTCCATATGATCTCCCTTCATTCTTCTGACTTCTTTGATTGCCATTTTCTAGTCCTTTCTTCTTCGTTTTCCATAGATTAATAAAACGATCCATGCTCACCAGCATCTTAAAGTATTTGACCGGATGCTTTCATGTTTCCCTCCTGATGGCCCTGTCCTTTTGTTATGCATTAATAATGCATTAAGTACGAAGTCGTCTTATTTTCTGACTGGGTCTGACATTACCCACGTGCAGTTGTTATTTGAACGGTATCACACGTGCTCCGAAGGTGCCAGGATAAAAGAGGCAGGTTAAAGCAGTGTATGTGCCCACGGGATTGTGGCTTTTAGGAATGGCTCTAGAGCAGCGATTTGCAACCTTTTCAGCTCCTGGCACATAAACTAATCACTAAAATCCTGCGCCACGCCCAAAGGTATATTTTCTTTCTTGCCGATCTGACCAAAAAAATAGGTATAATTTGGATTCATTCACATGGGACGCCTATTGCTGTGCTGGCTGTGGTCATTTTTTTATTTGACAGTCTAAGGGAAAAGAGATCAGTGCCCCTGACTACATAGTCAGGTATTGTATGTTTTACAAATTCTGCAGCATACCTGTTGAAAATCGCTGCTCTAGCCCAGCCGGCGTGGCTCAGCGGTTGAGCATCGACCTAGGATCCAAGAGATCAAGGTTCGATTCCCGGTCAGGGCACATGCCCGGGTTTCGGGCTCGATCCCCAGCAGGGGGCGCGCAGGAGGCAGCCGATCAATGACTCTCTCACCATTGATGTTTCTCTCTCTCTCTCCCTTCCTCTCTCTGAAATCAATAAAAATATATTTTTTTAAATCGCTGCTCTAAAGGAAGGAGCATTAAAGAACAAGACACTCAGACTGAGCAAATGGGAACCCACTGATGTTCTAGAACAGCTGTTTTCAACTGGTGTGCTGTAGATTTAGTCTTCTGCATTTTCCCAAATCTCTGGTCTGCTTAAGTTGCCTTGGTGGCAGCCATTCTGTTTGATTTCATTGAGATTAAATGCGATAACATACTTGTAAATGACTCATAAACCATAAATAAAAATATTACTATTATGAATATTAATTACTCCTCAGAAACCATATCTATTCATTCATCCTTCATTCTCTGTGTGCCCCACCTGAATTCCCATGTCTTCCCCATTAAAACCTATTCTCGGAAAATGATATGTTATACTCATTTAACCCAGGTGACCGGTAAAGTTTAATGTGTACTTCTCCTGGGTTATTTGCATTTTAATAGGGTGAAAAGCTATAAACCTGAGGAATGGCTCTCTGGTGGTAGAAAGTCAGCTGTAATGTCTGAGCTGTGAGGAAAGGACTTTGAGGGGCCACGTGGAGCATCCGCACACCTTTCAAACCATATCACACAGGTGCCCACTTCCAGAAAGGTCAGGCCTGAAGAAACAGATACTCATGAAGACACTCATCCACCCGCCTAAATGGAGCCAGGCCTAGAAGTCACCAATTTCTTGGGTACTCATGTGAAGTCGCAATATATGCTTAGAAGCTTGGCTCGTAGATATCAAAAACTACCAATTTGCTTTAAGAGGTAGTTGAGAAATAGGAAGGTGAGACTGAAGACTAGATAAAGATTATTTCTTTTTGTTTTATTTTATTAATCCTCACTGGAGGATATTTTTTCCATTGCTTTTCAGAGAGAGTGGAAGGGGGAGAGAGAGAGAGAGAGAAACATCGATGTGAGAGAGACTCATCCATTGGTTGCCTCCTGCACTTGCCCCGACCAGGGCTGGGGATCGAGCCTGCAACTGAGGTTCATGCCCTTGACCGGTATCGAACCCGAGACCCTTCAGTCCACGGGCTAACTCTCTAACCACTGCACCAAACCAGCTAGGGCAAAGATTATTTCTTTATGTTGTTCCTTTTAAAATTACAAAAGTAATGAACACCCCTGAAAGAAATTTTTGAAAGCAGAGAGTACAAACAGGGAAAGAAAAATTACTATTACAAATGCGGTTTACAAACTTTCTGTCTTTCTCTTGGGGGGGGGTATTCAGATTCTGTTTTTTTCTTTGAAACCAAACAAGATAAAGACATATTACGGTTTCACTACCTGCATTTTTCCCCTTAGAACTATACTAAAACTATTTTTGTGTCTTAATATCCCTCGCAGAGTAATTTTTTGAATGGCTGAGTAGTAGTCCCTTTTGTGGCTGTACCAGATTTCCCGAGGCAATGCTGAGTCACTCGATATTAAGGCTGTTTCAGACTTTTCACTATTATATCCAAAATTGTGACTGACATTCTTTGGCCACCTTTATAAACACCTCACATTCTTCCTACAAGAGAAATGCCTCAAATCAGCCCCTGGCCACATGGCTCAGTTGGTTGGAGCATCATCTTGTACACCCCAAGGTTGCAAGTTCGATGACCAGTCAGGGCACATACCCAGGTTTGGGGTTCCATCCCTGATCGGGGAGCATGCAGGAAGCAACCAATAGATGTTCCTCCCTCCCTCTCTCTCTCTCTCCCCCCGCATTCCACTCTCTCTCAAATCAATAATTTTTTTAACAATGCCTCAAAACACAACTGCTGTGTCAAAGGATGTTTATATTGGTAAGGCTTTTGACCTGTATTGCCAAATGACCTCTAGAAAGTTGCACCAGAAACTGGGTGCACCATCAAAACCATATTTGAGGCAGGGCATCTCTGAAGTCACTTACCTACTGCTAAATTGTGTCCTATGAAAGAAATACAGCTTCCCCTCAGCCAATAAAATTATGTTTGAAAAAACACCACTGTGGTCATAAAAAATGAGTTTGAATTGGTAGATAGCTAGTAATTTGTTTCCAGGTTCCTAAAAATAATAGCAGGGTGATTTCTGGGCTTTAGAAATTCCAATGATAAGAAAAATAAAGATCATCTATTAACCGCACACCTCCCCAAACACGCTCACTGTCTTTTTCTCTTCTCATTCTCTGTCTGTCTCTTTCTGCCTGTCTCTCTCTCTCTCTCTCTCTCTCACACACACACACACACACTCACTCCCTCACTCCCCTTTGATAATTACATTACCATCTGTCTTTGTTTTTTATCAG